CACTCTATTCAGGGCAACAGAGTGAGACTGTGCCTCGGGGAAAAAAAAAAAAAGTTCTATCTTCCTCAGTGAGACTTGATCTGAAACTCTGGTACCTTATAACATAGAAAGTCTGATGGCAGCAAGTCTGATAATGGTTTAAGTACCTACTTTAGAATGTTTATACTCTTTTTTCTATAGTCTGACATGGATAGGAAAGAATAAGAGTCATCCTCTAATGTGAACATGTTTAAATAAGAGCACACTCTGAAAATATTTTATTATGTTCCATTTCCTTAATCCCTAAAAACAAATGTTTTTCTCTGAAGTGCAGTGTGAGTGGAGACTGACACATCCTCTTCACTTGTTGTAGGCTCATTAGCTGGACCTCAGGTTCCAATGAGAGCCTGCCTGCCACGGCCTTGGGCTCTAAACCCTGAACACCAGCAGCCAACTTTGCAGCCATGTCAGGGCCTGGGTGCACTTGGGCCTGGCTATGGTGGAGGAACTGCCCAGTTAGTTTCCTAGAAGTATTTGAACACAGCAGTGAGACCCCAGCAGGGTTGACCCTTAAAGCAGTCAACTGAAACTCTGCCTTCCTTTTGGACACAGGTAGAAGATAATGAAGTAAAATTATCTGAGAAAACCCAGCAAGCAGTGAGGGTAAGCACCCTTTTTATTCTCAGTATTAACATCATATCAAAATAAAATGTAAATAATTTATAAGGATAATTTATAGTTCATCTTACTGCTAAAGAATCTGTACTACTTTGTCTTCAATTCCTGTTTGCATTCAGCAGAGCTTCAAAAATAAAAATAATCATTTATGGAGGATATAATTAGATTCTTTCTCTCATTAAGGGCTTTTGGTATTTTTTTCTCTTTTAAATATCCCCATACTATTAAAAACAGATCCCAAATTGGTCTATATATGTTGAGCTGAGAAGTCAAGGCTTTAGGTCAGGGAGAACCTGCCTCCGTTTTCACAAAGGATATTAATCCACAGGTACATGAACATGAACAGGCATTGCAGGCTTTGGTGCCTGGACTCAGAGAAGACCTTACTTAACAGTCTTTTTCTCAGCACAAATCAAGGATGCCAGTGACATGCCAAAGAGCCAGGCAATGCCAAAGGCCATGGAATAAGTCGGGCATATCTGAGTCTGACTCAGCTTCTAGACAGACAAAATGACACAAGATTTTTGATTCTGTATTTATGCTATAAATCATCTGCCCCTTTTTGGTTGTTTTTAAAGGAAGATGAGTGTTTCCTGGGCACTTTGCTAACAGGAGGAGAGGGAGCGTATCTTTATTCCAGCAGTCCACAGTCCTGGCCTGAGGAAGGTGAGGAGCCGTGACTTTTCTGTTCTTGACTGTATCTGGGTCCTTCGTTTGCAAATGGTTTCTTCATTGTAGCATGGGTGTTGTGATTAATAATACATCTTATATTTGGAAAGACTTGTTGGAGCATAAGTGTTCTCTTGCAGTTTTTCTCCTTGGACCCACTCACTTTGTATATGAAGAAATGCAGGGGCCAGGTGCAGTGGCTCGATACTGTAATCCTAGCACTTTAGAGGCCAAGGCAGATGGATTGCCTGAGCTCACAGGTTTGAGACCAGCCTGAGCCAGACAAGACCTTGTCTCTAAAAATAGCTAGGCGTTGTGGCCGGCACCTGTAGTCTCAGCTACTTGGGAGGCTAAGATAAGAGAATCCCTTGAGCCCATGAGTTTGAGGTTGTTGTGAGGTATGACACCATGGTACTCTACCAAGGGTGACAAAATGAGACTCTTGTCTCCAAAAACTAAAAAAAGGAAGATGTATGCTAGGAAGTGCTGATCCCAGAACTATATCTGGTCTTCTTGTTGTTGCCTGAGTTTAGCTCTGGGAATGGGCTAGAGCAGCAATACCTCTAGAAATAGAGTCTGTGGACCTAAACAAAATCTGGATTAGTTTTCTTTTGCAATATAACAAATTTCCACAATTTTTTTTTTTTTTTTGAGACAGAGTCTCAAGTTGTCACCCTGGATGGAGTGCTGTGGTGTCACAGCTCACAGCAACCTCAAACTCTTGGGCTTAAGAGATTCTCTTGCCTCAGCCTCCCAAGTAGCTAGGACTACAGACATCTACCACAGCACCCGGCTATTTTTTGGTTGTAGTTGTCACTGTTGTTTGGCAGGCCCCAATTAGATTCAAACTCACCAGCTCTGATGTATGTGGCTGATGCCCCAGCTGGTTGAGCTACAGGTGCTGAGCCAAATTTCCACAAATTTAGTAGCTTAATACAATCCCCACTTATAGGTTAGAAGTCCAGGAAGAGTTGATTGGATTTAGATCTTAATGAGGCCAGAATTAAGGTATCAGCCAGATTAGGATTTTGTTCTTTCTTTTTTGAGACAAAGTCTCACTCTATTGCCCAGGGTAGAGTGCTGTAATGTCATATTTCACAGCAACTTCAAAATCCTGAGCTCAAGCGATCCTCTTGCCTCAGCCTCCCAAGTAGTTGGGACTATAGGCACCCATGATAACACCCACCTAGGTTTTCTATTTTCAGTAGACACAGGGTCTTGCTCTTGGTCCAGCTGATCTTGAACTCCTAAGCTCAAGCAGTCCACCTGTCTAAACCTCCCAGAGTGCTTAGGATTACAGGTAGGTGTGAGCCACTCTTTTTTTTT